TCCGCGCACCCCTCCCCCTCCACTCCCGGGCCTCCAGGGCCGGGCCGCTGGGCGTCAAGCCCCGCCTCCGACCCCTTGTGACACTTCTTGTGGGGCTTCCTAGGTAGGCCCGGGCGATAGAATCCGGATTTTCCCACCCCTCTTCCACATCAGCAAGGTCACTCTTTCTCGACCCTGTTCTTCGCAGCCTGGCGTCTCCAGTGCCCTTTAAATGTTCTTGTGACCTAATACGGTTTTTATCTGATTCTTACAAATGTAAAGACATCTGGAGAAATCAAGTACATTAGATGATTTTTTAAAAAACAAAACGTAATTGACATTAGGCCCGGTAATTTGGCTCCTCTGCTGCACGCCTCAAACCTTACAATCACGTGACTGATCCAAACCTCAGCACTGGATTTTGCCGGCTGGGCCTAGAAAGACCGAAATCTCCCGCCCTTTCCGGCCCCTTGATCATGGCTTGAACGTCACTTCCTTAGCGATGCTCTTTAACCTTTGCCGTCCTCTCTCTCTGCACTGCAGCTTACAACGCAGTCTTTGTAAAAATGTATGTTTATTTTTTCCATTAACCGCAAAAAAATTAATATTCAAGCGACCCGCTAAGATTCAATTCCGTGAGACGCCGCGAGCCTAGATGGGGGAGGCAGGGCGGAGCTCGAGGTCACGTGTCTAGCTAGAACCGCCCCCCTGCAGCTGAAGACTTCCCCTCCCACAGTGACAGAGCCTCGGGGTCGGTGGTCGGGACGCTGTCTGCTCTTCCAGTCCCAGCAGGTGAGTGGCCACCTCGTGACTGATTGGAGTAGTAGCAGGGGTGGAGGCTGTAAAGAAGGGAGAATGTGAATGGCGGCCTTCCCTACTTGGGGCTTCCTCGCTGCTGTCACCCTACACTGGCAAGGCGCTCATTTCTCCGGATCTCCTGACCCCCGATCCCTCACTGTGGTCGCCCTTGCACCTAGGAATTGAGAAGACCACCTTTCCCGAGCTTGAGAGTGAGTGCGGCCATTACGGTTCCCTACTGAGGTCTTTGGGGCTCCAGCTGGTAGGAATACTTCAGCCACTCCTCGGGGTCTGCAGCAGCCCCTAGGTCTCATTTCCCAAAGCTAGTTCTTTGGCTGAGGCCCTTACCCGGGTAAGCTGGAAGGTAGGAAAATCCCTGGAGTCAGAGGCATCTCCTAAGAGATGGGCTTCTGAGGGAATGTCACCGATACAGCCTTCGCTGCAGTCACTAAAAAGCTTCCTTCTGAATGTTGTTCTTCAGTTATTTTAAGGGTTTTATCTGACATCCTTACAAGAGAAGTTCTGTGGATTTTCACATGCTTCGGGTGGGACAAAAAGAGGGGCTTTTACCATTTTCTTCTCCGGGAGAAAAGATAGTCGAAGAAATAAAAAAATGTACAATTTTCAAAACGATGTTGGTAATGCGACAGTCTCGATTGAATGGGGGAGCACTGAGAGATGGTGTTGCCTGGGTCGTGATGTGTAGGAGGCCCAGGCTAGCTTATGGAAAAGTGACTAGGTTTTCCTGAAAGGGAAATAACTCTTGGGAAACTGATTAGACTGGACATATAACTCAACCAAATCTGTTTGTGATTTAGAAGGCAAGAAGAGTAAGTCAGGATATTGCTGACTTCATACTTTGTGCCTTTCTTCTCCTTTTTGTCATTCCTTCCTGAAATCCTGCTAAATTCTTAATCCGTTTCTTGACCAGCTTTCTGGTAAATTTATGTTAAGTAACACTTGTAGTCCTCCTTTGTTTACTCCATTTGTAAAACTAGGAGACCTCTTCCGATTTATGATTCTGCATAGTATTTTGTGAAAATACAGAAATTGTTTTGCCTAGGGTTTTGCTCAACCCAGTACTCCCATTTTATATGTAATGGCGTAGCCAATGTTTTTACTCCAAACATTGTATTTTGGAAATAATGTATTTTAGTTTGGGGTTAAACTTAATATGCCAGCTTGCAGAGTTGTTTCTTTTAAATAGAACTTTGATTTTTAAAATTTAAATCACATTCTCTTAATATGAAAAATCATGTTCTCAGTTAAACCTTGTAGTTTTCTAGTCAGTAAAATTGAGGAATCTATTAAAAAGTCAGCTGAAAAAAATGAAGATGGAACCATTCATTATCTTTCAGCAGTGGATGAGATTGGCTTGTTTTTTTTGTATCTTTCAAGTTCTCTACAATAAACGGGTCTCACTTTGTTAAGAGCTAAAAATTAAAATTCTAGGATAGTAGCAATATAACAAAATAGGAAAACTGTCCTTTTGATATTCCTTACTAGAAAATATAACCTTGGTCTTGGTTTGCCCAAGTAATAAAGAAGATCACTGTTGTCTTTCATGGATTTACAATTTTAACATTTGTATTTATGACCCACACTGGACAATGGTACTAATTTATTGATAAGTTTATGTACCAAGGCCTGTTACAGATAAAAGTACAATACTATAGTTTTATCCATTACTTTTCTCCAGAGTGATGTTCTCCTGATCTCTAGAGGAAAGAAAAAAATAAGTAGTGTTGCTTCCTTGCCCAGATGACATTACATCGAATGAGGACAATCACTTTAGTGTTCTGGAAGTCCAAGCCAGTTCTGTCCAGGTGCACTGAAATGGACAAGAGAAAACCAGCTAAAAAGTATTGAGTACTGGAGAGGAAAATGTCAATATGAAAGAGATTGAATGAGTCTGCAGTTTTACTTCACAATTTTTCCAATTTTAGGGAATTTAAGAAAGTAATTACTTAGACCACTGATGAAGTCTGGAGGATGAGCAGCAGGATTGGCAACTGAATTGCTGCAGATGTTGTCTATAAAAAAAGAGCTTCAAGGAACACAGTTCACTTACATATACACAGTGACTTGAAATTTGGAAGATTCTTCTGAGACTAGCTCTATTAGTTTTTTTTTTTTGGTACTGGGGATTGAACTCGGGTCCTTGTGCTTGCAAGGCAGGCGGCGGAACTGCTGAGCTAAATCCCCAGCCCTCTATTAGTTTTTTTTTAATAGTCTAACAAATAAATATTTGCACACCAAAAATGACATATGTTTAAAGTTATATTGAAAAGTTAATTTCCCACAAGATACAAGAGGGGAACGTCACCATGAGCTCTATCAGTGTTAATGTAGAAATCTTAACATTTATTTGGCAAATTGGGCTATAGACTACCATTAAATAACTTACTCTGAGGTCTGGTTTTCACTGCCTTTGGAGATTCATTATCAGTACTTCCAAGGATGCTTCTTTCCCCTAGAGGTTAGAGCCACTGTTTGCTATTAAATTATTTCAAACGAGATTAAATCACTTTAGTTCTTGTAGCTCATAGCTCCTTCTAATGTTGTCCACTAAGTATTAGCTTTTTTTAAAAAAAAAAGTCAGTAATAACTTTCCAAATCATAATCAGTAGTCTAGACAGACATAAACCTCATGTGCAGTGACCAACTTAGCCTTTACAGCATGTATATTTACTGATGGATATGGTAGTCATTTAGATATGAGAGGGAAAGGAAGAGGAATAAGTTGTATTTTTTAAAAAAGGGAACTTCATAAGCCACAAGTAGCACGTTGCTAAATTAAAAAGTCCCTGATTTTTTTTTTTTTCTCTAGTGAGGCTTGAACCCGTCTTGCACATGCTAGGCAAACTACTGCTGAGCTATGTCCCCTGGCCTTTTAAAAAATTGTATTTTGAGGCAAGGTTTCACTAAGCTGCCTGAACTGAACTGGAATTTGCAATCCTCCTGCTTTAGCCTCCCAAATAATTGCTAGGATTATAGATACGTGGCACCACACCCCAGAGTCAAAGGATCTTCATTCAGCTCTGTTACCTTATTATGTGCCCTTAAAGCTGAGTGGTAGGGGTTTGACACTTGAGACCTTCTTAAGGATATTGTGAGCTTCAGTGAGGAGAAACTAGATACCTTATTTGAAAGTATTTTTAAAACTAAGTGGAAAGTGAATATAAAGCAGAATAGTTCAGACTCCATGAATGGACTCCCCAATCATAAAAAACTAGGTTTAGTTTCTATCCCTCCATGTTAACTGTATGACCCTGGACACTTTAAGATTAAATTTCTTGTTTTAGCTGTCCCAAAGGTGCTATTAAAGTGTATCATGAATGTACATTGTCTAGTATACACTTTGTAAAATTTTTACTATTAACTTTACTGACATTTGTTTTTTTTGGTTTTTTTTTTTTTGGTACCGGGGATTGAACTTGGGTCCTTGTGCTTGCAAGGCAGGCCACCGAACCGCTGAGCTAAATCCCTGG